TACTTCTATTAATTTCTACAAAAAAAAAATTGTGCATAATATAATCGTCCTAAGCTTGCTCACAGAAATGTCGTATCTGAACAAATTAATTTCATAATCTATATTCCATGACACAAGTTGGCACCAAACAAATAACTTTTTAATTAATAATCTATAATGTTTTTTATTAAAAAAAAATATCTTACTTACCGATGAAAAGTGATTCCATGGAAATATATGTACTTCGTACAAACGAAAACTATCAATTTGGTCGAAATTTACCATAATGAATAAAATTATCATAATATCTGACCCATTTCTTAAAAGTGTCTTCATACTGACCTAATCATGAATAAAAATATCTTTTGAAAGGTTAATATATAGGAAACGATATTTATATATATATACGGAACGGATTTCATTTCTCAATCGACAGGGCCGCTGCCGTGCGCATTTAGTTGGCGTGACTCCTATAAAATAAAAATATCATTTCCTATCTATTAACTAGCTGTTCCCCGCAACTTCGCCCGCGTGTAATTTATTACGATTGGATTTCATGGGTTTTTATTGTTTTTGCGCGGAACCCCAATTCTTTTTCTAAATTAAAAGTAGCCTTTCATGCCAGCTCAACGCCTGCAACTTTACAAGGCGCAGGTTCGGCCTCACATGGAATACTGTTCCCATCTCTGGGCTGGGGCTCCTCAGTGCCAGCTCCTTCCACTTGACCGCATCCAGCGCAAAGCGGCTCGAATAGTTGACAACCGAATCCTTTCTGATCGGCTCGACTCATTGACACTGCGAAGAGATGTTGCATCTCTTTGCATTTTCTTTCGCATTTACCATGGGGAGTGCTCTGAGGAATTGTTCGGATTAATCCCAGCCGCCAAATTTCACGAACGCACATCGCGGCAGAACTCCCGATACCATCCACACCATCTGGATGTTTGGCGGTCCACCACTGTGCGATTTAGAAGATGTTTTCCTCCTCGCACATCTTCCTTGTGTAATAGTTTACCACCAGCGATTTTTCCGGACCGATACGACTTAGGGACCTTCAAGAAAAGAGCCTACTCCTTTTTAAAAGGCCGGCAACGCATCTGCAATCCCCTGGTGTTGCGGTTGTTCATGGGCGGCGGTAGTCACTTACCATCAGGTGAGCCGCATGCTCGTTTGCCCCCTCTCCTATAAAAAAAAATACGCGATAAAGTCCGTAAAATGTGTAGTGTTCGCGTAAATATAAGAAATCATTACACTATTACACTCTAAAAAAATACCTAGGAGCTTATTTCTTGCATGCTGACTTGTGCCGACCTGTCATTGTAAGGTAAGTGTTACATTTGGCGTGAATTTAAAATATGATGTGTCATACAACTTAACAACCCTTTTCGGGTATTACAATAATAGGTCTGTGATTTACATAACTATACTGATCATAATCAATCAAAATTATAAAAGAAATTAAATTACCTAACTTCGATATTATAACATTCTAAATAGCTAATTGTTTTGGTTGTAGCTAAATACTCTTTGAAACACAAAGCGCAAACACAACGAATGAATTGTTATCTTACTCTTTTGCTGGCTTACTTGATCCGTTCATGTACAGTAGCCCAAACTCGAGTTAACTCAAGTTAAACGCAACTCGAGTTAACTCGACGGGTACATCACTAAAAAATTTATTTACATGTCATTTTAACATGTTGCCAACATATGAGAGATTCCCCAAATTGCGGGGAATTTAAAACTAGTTGGGGATTTTTTAGGGATTGGGATTATGCGGGGAAAATGCGGGGATTTTAGAAAATAGATAGCCCGTGCCAAGTGAAAACCTTTTTCTAAGAAATTTTAATACCTATCTTAACATTTTTATTAGGTTACTTATTTATTTATTTATTTTATTTTCAAGGGAAACATACTTAATTTTAGTCTAATACATAACACATATTAATCTTACAATTAACAATAAAGTTTCCACAGATAAGTAACTCATCGACAACAAGCGAAAATCATGACATACTTTGGTGTGTTATGAATATCGAATGACTCCCTTTTTCTAATTATCTTCATTGCACCACATTTAATTTTGGGATTTAATTCGGCTTTTATGTATTTTTAATGCTTTTAATTACTTTATTTTTTATTTTAAAGCAGAGAGCCGCATGCATATAAATGCAGATACTGTGATACTTTTTAATAGCAACAAGGGAAGTCATTTAAAATACTCTATGGAGTAAAATGCTTGTTACAAAAATATAATGTAAAAAAAATAATCAGTAAAAAAGAAAAAACATGTTTCTCAAAAAATAAATCTTAAAAAATTATTTAAAAATTGTTTTATTTCTTAATATGAAATTTAGGGAATTTGTTGGGAATCTGTTAAAATGTCGTCCCTAAATTGGGTAATTTGACATGGATTTTCGGGGAACTTGACAAATTGGTGTTGGAACGCTGCATTTCAGTTTCACAGCCACACAGTACTTTCTTATATAGGGAATCACCACGGAAGTATAGACAAACTGGAACCCACACTCCTAATATCAACATTAGGAATAATCAAATGACCTTGAGTAACCCCTGTTTTCCCTACAGGATAGCCAACGTGACGACTGATATTACCCCATTGACAGCCATCATGAATTTCAGTATAAGTTTAATTCTCAGTATTGCAAGAATTTTAAGTAAAAAATAATAACAAAACTCCACAAAAACGATTTTCACTTAGGTGTTTGCTTTTTCTTTTAAACACTTAATAAAGATTTACGATGAACTATTTGCCTAGCTTCCTACATATTTCCCCTATTTTAGATTTGTTCTTAAAAGCCGTTATATGACAACCCAAAATCTATTTGTCAAATGATTTTTACTGTACATGGTGGATGTTTACGTTCATTTCGCAATTTTATTGTCCTTTTTGCGGATAAAATATTTAAAAGGGCATCAAATATGAATAGTCTGAGTCAACCTAATATTAAAAATGTATTAATCAATATTACTATTCAACACTTCACACCACAGTTGCGACCAAACCAAAGTTTTATATATATATATATATATATATATATATATATATATATATATATATATAGTGTAATTTATACGTGGTAGAGCCATGCTGCAGCTATATTAGTAGTATAGATCAAGCACGAATGGGAATAGAAACAGCTCAACCGGGGAAGGACCGCGCTTTCAACAGAATACCAGCGTAAAATACCAGCCTAACGCTGTTGTGTTTCGTATGATGAGTGTAGAGAACCGGAGACCCTTTTTACTGGAAATGAGGCATTCCATCTTCGTTCTCACGGGTGACAACGCATCTGCATTTTGATTTGTAATAGAGGATAGATGCAGATGTCTATGGGTCGCAGCAATCACTTACCATCAGGTGAACTGCATCAGCCTATGGATGACAGTATTAATTGCTCTGAATTTCATTAATCCAGAATTTAAAACTATTTTTTATTTTTTATAGGATAGGGTGACAAACGAGCACACAGTCCACCTGATGGTAAGTGGTTGCTGTGAATTTCAAACTCTTTTTTGACCATGCGTCTCAGAACGTATCTAAAAGATTTTATGGACCAAAAGTTGAGTGCTGTTCGTACCAAGCGACAAAAACTTCACAAAACTATTCAATCATGTATAAAAATTGTGTTGTTGTAAAAACCTTCACCTCTAATTATTATTGTTGTATATTTTAAATTTGTAGACACTATTGCTATTGTAATAATAAATGTAAATAAAAACGATTTTTATTTTAGTTTTATTATTTCCTAATGTTACATTATAAGAGATGTAAAGAAAACCTCCCGAAAACGTTAACCATGAACTCATCATGACCATCATCCTGAGCAAGTTACTGAAGGAATTTCTTTGTGGAAATTAAAAAAAAATTGACTTCCCATACAAAATTGGTCACGTGACATTTTGAATTTTTTTTTATTTTTTGGAAAAAATTATTTTATATTTTGTTCACGATGATGATCTGAGTTCATGGTTAAAGTTTTTTATATTTAGCCCGTTCACTCGTTTATTCGTTTATTCACAAAAAAAGTACACGAATAAATAATATTAATTAATAAACTTCCGCCCGCAGCTTCGATCTTATGAATTTTTCTAATATCATACGTTTCAATGGAACTCTACTACTTTCAATTAAAATAAAATTTTATATGTGAATATAATAATAATAAACTGATTTTTCCCCATAATATCCCAAATTCTTGTATTTTGTGTTCACCCTAATTAGAAAGAGACTGAGGGGTAATAAAAATTTCAAGATCGTTTTCTTGTATTTTTTATGTCATTCGAGAATGCGGGTTCCAGTTTGTACGAAGTACATATATTTCCATGGGAATCACTGACTTAGAAGTATATATCTCTATGTAAGGAATTCACAGCAAACTGTCATTTTCAGTTTTCACAGGGAGTTTTGGCGGGAACTTGACCGGCGGCGGTTTGCTGTTCCTGTATTATAGTTTAAATAATAGTTTGAAGTGGATTTTGATATGTAAAAGTCATGTAATTTTATGTATTAACTGTATACACATGTGAACTATTAGTGGAAACGGTGAAACAAGTGCTCTGATGGTGATGGATTCCCAAGATAAGCTTTTTGTCTGCATAGGCACCTTTAGATACCATCGGCAACTGACACCTGTATGCTGGCTCAAGTTGCCGTCAAAATCTCCCAAGGGCTGCACAATGTGACGCATCAACGTATTGTGAAGCAGTGAATTATGAAGGATAATATAAAAAAGACAAGGCTGTATGGCTTAATTCCTTTGCCTGCTCTCTCGAGTGAATAATAACAACAGTTTTCACAGTTTCTAAGTTTCTAACTTTCAACTGGTATACAGTAATCTGTGCTTTCAAACGTCAAATTCCCGTCAGGATACATGTATTGTGTTCTGTGGCCAAATTATTAGAATTTTATAAACGGTGCGGTTTTGTATTTTGTCCCTTGTACTTGTTAATTAAATAATATTCTGCTAAAGAAATCGACAAAACAGAACTACGTGGCAATGGCAGGATTAACTAGAAAAAAACTTCAGTTACCCAAGTCTGTTTTAGAAATGAAATTCATGAAGAGAACTAAAGAAAGAATAGAAAAGGAACTTGAAAATATCCACGGTCATGAAGGCTTATATTCAAATATTATTACAAACGAAATGCGCACTGCTACTGGGAATTACATACCAGAAGCTAGTTTTATATATTGTGAAAATTTAATAGATGGTAGGTTATCTTTTAAAGGCATGAATCCAGAGATCGAGCGGTTAATGGAACTAGAAACCGCAAAGGAAGAAGAGAGTGGTGAAATGCAAAAGGATGTGTCTGATGAAGTTTTGGCAAAAAATATGAATAAATTTAAATCAAGGAAAAGGCCATCACTTACTCCTAGCAAATATAATGTCACTGCCAAGAAGAAAAAATAAATATATTATGTTTTGGAACTGCAAGATTGGGAATCTTACAAACAATATTCAAGTAATTTATATTGTTTGCACATAAAAGTTTGTTTTATGATGGTAAATTTAATGTTAGCTAACAACTTAATAGTAGCATGGTGTGCAAACAAGAGCAATAGTTTGGAAAATATAAAAACAAGATCAAATTATATAAAAGATTTAACTTGATCACCTTACCAATACATATATAAACTAAAAAATAATTTTTAAGAATAGGGTCTTTTGTTTTTGTTACCTTTTAAGGATAGTTTTTATTGTAAAAAAAGTAATCACATAAATTATGAATATTAGGCACTTTTTAATCAGAGTGAGGGAATAGAAAGTGTACCTGTGCTTGAGCATACACAGGGCACTATAATCCTGTCCTACGCTGATGGCTAGTCTCCGTTGAGATTGGCCGTTGTAACCAAAATTTGGTCTAGGGGACATCTCAGGCTAAAGCATACACAATACTCTTAGCATTAGCTATCAGCAATTTTGCGGCCGCATTGACACTTCGTGTTTTAATGACTACTAGGTTTGATTATTGCATGTTTAGGTTTTTTATTAAATCCACCCCTGCACTACAGATAGCATTCATTTCATTAAAAAATTTGGTTCGTACTCTTCGTAATTAAGGAAATAATTAATGATTCTCCCCAAATGTAAGACTGTAACTAATCCATACTGCCTTTGGCTCATTTTGTTCTTTTGTATCATTAAATGGTAAAGCTTAGACAAAATATATTATTGGCTATAACCCATACTACAGGTGTATTACTACGTGTCCCATATTGATGTTAATGTTTGCAATAAAAGGAAAGTTTAATTTTTTTGTTTTATTTGGATACTTAATAGGTTTTGTTTATTATGTTATTATGCCTTATGTTTTATTATATTACTGTATGAAGGCATTTAAGTCCAAGCTTAAATGGTGCCAAGACAGTGAGAACTATATAAAAATGGATATCTTGGCTACACACCATAAAGAGAAAGATTTTAGGGGTTTTTAGTATCATACTAAGAAACTGGAAACTGCATCATGCTTACCTGTGAGTGTCGAAGATCCGAATCAGTCAGAAAGAAGTCAGGCATGAATACTTACCTCAGAGTCGTGGTAGCTCAGGGGCTAAGCGCTCAATATAAATTTCACAGTACGCAAGCAACCTGGGTTCGACACTCGCCGGCACCAATGAAATTGTTAATTGCAATTTTAAGTGCTGATTTATCCCATGCTCAAAAACATTGTTCACGTACAAAGAAAAACATCGTAAGGAAGTCTTTGTGCTAGGGAAATATAATAATAGTAAAAAAATTATTTCCAAGACATGTGAAGTTCGCCAACACGTATTGGGGCAGCACGGCGGACGTTTCCCTGTCCTATAAGCCTATATCTCTCTCAGAAATAAGAGGTGGTCTGTTGTTGGCCCAGCAGTGGGACATATATACAAGGGCGGCACTGAAAATTTCGGGAATCAAAGAAGTGACACAACATTACTATTTAAAAATGTATTTATTGCTTTTCGAAGTATTCTCCGTGAAATTTGACACATTTTTCCATACGATGGAACCAATCATTGAAGCAACCATTCCATTCGGAAGTTGGGGTCTCCAAAATGGCCGTTTTGTAGGCGTCCACAGCTTCTTCAGGTGATGAAAATCTCTGTCCACGCAATTTATTCTTTATTTTAGGGAAAGTATAGAAATCATTAGGGCTTAGGTCCGGGCTGTACGGCGGATGGTCTAATAATTCTATGTTTTCTTGCTCTAAAAACTCTTTTGTTCTGTGTGCGGTGTGAGAACTCGCATTGTCGTCGAGGAATAGTCGTAACATGGCCGGTTTTGGAGACAAACGTGGCCACCATTTTTTTTGCAATACTCCGTGAACGAACAATTTTTGTTGGCTTTAACTCATTTTCGAACACCCAAACTCGTGACTGGTTTTTTGTTTCGGGTTCGTACGCGTATATCCAGGATTCGTCACCTGATACGATGTTGTATTCAGCATTTGAGGATCCTGTGTGAAATCTTTCGAGAGTTCTGACGCACCAAGTAACGCGAGCCGCTTTTTGCTCTTCACAGAGCGAATGCGGTATCCATCGGTAACAACTTTTTTACACCTAATTGTTCATGCAAGATTATTTGTATTTGACTCATGCCAATGTCTAAAGTTGCCTGAATTTCGCGGTATGTCACATGTCGATCTTCCTCAATCAGCTTACGCACAGCATCAACGTTTTCTTGGGTGACTGCAGTTTTTGGACTACCTTGACGGGGATCATCACTGAGCTTGACACCTCCACGTTGAAATTCAGCAAACCAGCGATAAATTGTGGTTTTGGATGGGGCTTCATCACCAAATGCAGAAATCATCCGGTCAACACACTGTTTTTGTGTTAAACCACTTCGAAAGTCATAATAAATCATCGCTCTTGAATTTTCTCGAGTCAATTCCATTTTCTCAACGACTAAACAAGTTTCACAAAACCTTGTGACAAGACCGAGAATCTTGTTTTAAATAAATAAATGGTGTTCGATTTTTAAAACCAAGGAGTTTTCAATTAAAATGATTTTAATATGACAGGAACAGTGGAAATATACCATTACCCATACTTTTAGTGCAGCCTAAGCCTATGTAGACTGTTACTTAAAGTTACTCCTTATAAGGTCAGCTATCTGCCGGTAAAGATTCCGTCAAAATCGGTCCAGTAGTTTCAGAGATTAGCCGGAACAAACACAGAAAGAAGATAGACAAAAATATCAAAATTGTTTTTTTTGTTAAAAAACAATTAGGGTTCCGCGCAATAAAATCTAAACCCATGAAAACCTACCATTACAAATGCAAGCTACCTAAATGAGACAAATACAGTGTTTAATATAAAATAAGTTTTCTCTTTTGTATTTGTGTATTTACTAACATTAAATTTTTAGATTGTTTTTGTTACTAACTAAATAAGGATAGTTTGAATCTGAAGTAAAATAACTGTTATTTAATACTTACATCCTACTATATATATCGAATCGACCGCGCGGAGACTAGACGAATTTCAACCACCCGAGTAGGCTGGGTTTCGAGGAGGCTATGGCACCATAGATCACATAGTAGTGGAGGCAAATTATACTGAAGACGAATGAGTGTAATCAGCCTCTTTGTATGGCCTTTGTGGACTATGAGAAAGCCTTTGACTCCATCGAAACTTGGGCTATTATGAAGTCCTTGCAGCTTTGCCGGATTGACTGCCGATACATAGATGTCTTGAGACATTTAAACACCACAAGCTCGATGTTCGTCCAAGTACAGGTTGGTCTTACAAAACCTATCCAATTGCATCGTGGAGTAAGACAGGGGGACACAATATCCACAAGACTGTTCACAAGCGCACTGGAAGATGTTTTTAAGACGCTAAACTTGAATGGAAGCGGCATCAATATAAATGGTGAACACATCTCTCATTTACGCTTTGCCGATGATACCGTCGCCATGGCCGAATCGCTGCAGTAACTACAAGACATGCTTAGCAGCCTAAATGAATCCTCCTGAATGTAAATAAGAAGAAATTTATGTTTAACCGGTTCGGTGCGGATGGCACGCCAGGCGTGCCATCGATTATTTTTGTGTGGCGTACATTGAGTTATATGTAGTACATATAGCTCAATGGTATGACACGCGAGTCGTGTCTTTCTAAAAATCGTTATATCTGGCTCAAATAGCGTTTTTGGAAAATTTATCCAGAACAAAATATTCATTATTTTGCAAGTAGTTCATCCCTACAGCTTCGTTTCTGGATATTTTTATGTTACGAGTAATACTTTTATTGTAGGTTCGTCCAGTGTTTGTTTTGACAAATTATAGACCGTGCGTTGTTTATTGTTTGCGTCTGTGGTCAACGGTTGTTGCGTTTCGTTTCTACGTTGAGATGGATGTTTGGCATTTGATTTGATAGTAAATTTTTGGTATTTTTCTATTTGTTTGTCTTCAAGCCGCTGAAGAAGATTGGTCAATTTTTACCATCCCTCAAGTGTCATATCCCTCTACAAGATGCAGGAGTGTACAAGCTGGATTGTGAATGTGGTCTCTCGTACATAGGACAAACAAAAAGATCTATAAAAACCCGCGTTAAAGAACATAATATAGTCGACGTGAAGAACCGACGTATCGGGAAGTCTGCAGTTTGTGAACATGTTCAAGATCGTCCCCGCCATTACATTAGATTTGCTAGACCACAAATCCTCGCAAAAGAACAGCGATTCCTACCAAGGATGATTCGCGAGGCTATTGAAATTAAAAAAACATCCTAATTTCAATAGATAAGATGGATGGGTGCTGTCATCTGCTTGGGATCCCATATTTAATAAAATTAAATCCAAACCCAAGTATACCACTGCTAGACTTCAAGATACTGTAAGCTCATTCTGCATCAATCGAACCAAAAATTAATATTAAAAAACTGAAGGTAGCCGGGCTAACTATGACATCAGGACGTCAAACACCTCAGTCCCCCGTGACCACGAGTGCTGGAAAGCACCCGAAACGTTGGGAATATAAAATAAGTTAATTTACGTGATAAAATCCGTAAAATTAGTGTTATTTATATTTGTAGTGTTCGCGTAAATATAAGAAATCATCATGGTACGCTTTTTACTTTGTGTTTTAAATCATGTTGTGGAAAAATAGTCTAATAAGTAACAAATAATAGCACTCATTGCGATCGCTCACAAACTCAAGTTGTAAATAAATTACTGGAAAACAATCCTCCTGTTAAAAAAAAAAGGAGTTTTTGGCTTAGCTTTCCATTGACGTCCGTCGAGTTGGGTGTTGATACGTATTTTTAGAGAAAAGTTACACTATCATAAGCACACACACAAAGTTTCAACATGCGGAAACGTGTAATTTTTGAGAAAAAATGTCTAATCTATGGAATGTAGAGAGAGTCTAATCCTACCGTAAAACTGGCGCCATTTTGTAATGTCATTGTCGACGTCAATAG